ATTTTGTAAAGCAGAATATTCTTGTGTGCATCTACACTGAATTATGCGAAAGTGAAATGTGCGAAATTGAAATGTGCGAAACTGAACTGTGCGACACTGAACTGTGCGACACTGAACTGTGCGACACTGAACTGTGCGACACTGAACTGTGCGACACTGAACTATGCGTAAAAGAACTGTCCAATTGAACAAATGCTGATTTAGAAAGATTTATTATTTATAAATTAACAAAATTTCCAAACAGGGCTCTACATGCATACGCGTGTGTCTGTGTATATTAAATTATATTTCGATAACCTGTGTCCAAAAGCAACGGTGTCCAATTGTACGGTGCGCACAAGAACTGTGTCCAAATGAACGGTGCGCAAAAGAACTGTACGCAAAAGAACTGTGCGCAACATTATGTGCCCAATAGCACTGTGTACAATTGCATCGTGTCCAATTGTACTGTGCGCAATTGAGCCTCTCCCGTGGTGGTGGTAGTAGCAGTAGCAGTAGCAGTAGCAGTAGCAGTAGCAGTAGTAGTTCAATTTGTGTTATTGCACCCCTTCCGATCACAAAATATACATTATAAAGCTAACTGTTGCATTCAAAAGATTAGGAGATAATGGCTTATACATAGAAGCATATAATACGAAGGAAATATACAGGGTGTCGGATTCGATTTGGACCACTCCAAAGATTATAGTAGATTGGGTCAAACTGAGAAGAAAAGTTATATACCATTTTACAAAATCCGTAATTATTATCGCGTAATTAAGAAAAACGTCTGAGCCAATAAGTACACGGAGGAACGGAAGGCCGGACTCGGCAGACATGCAAAATGGTGTATTTGTTGACATCTTTCAAGATCCGATAGCGAGAGGTGGAGTCACGCATTGATCGATGAGAGACGTTGGCGAGCGCGGAGCGGTGAGCGGGCGAACGGCGCGCAGCGAGCGAACGCGCGACATATGACACGGCGCCGAAAAAGTTTTTCTGGTGGTAGGAGAATAATACACCATTTTGCATGTCTGCCGAATCCGACCTTCAGTTCCTCCGTGCACTTATTGGCTCAGACGTTTTTCTTAATTACGCGATAATAATTACGGATTTTGTAAAATGGTATATAACTTTTCTTCTCAGTTTGACCCAATCTACTATAATCTTTGGAGTGGTCCAAATCGAATCCGACACCCTGTATAGGGTTACGATTGGTGTATTACAGAGCGTACAGTTACAGTTTGCGTTGCTTATGTATGAGGATAGCTCTGTCGATCTCGCTCCATACTGCGTACATCCGATAATGTATATTATTTATTATATGTATATTTATTTATATTTATATATTTATTTACATTTATATATTTATTTATATTTATATGTGTATCGTATCGAAATAAAAGGAATGAAATTGATAGAATTATTGTGTCTTAAATAATGTGGACTGTATTTCTTTTCTGCTGTATGTACACCAGTTTCGTCTTCGAGTGTTCTAGCTCGACTAACGCCTTCCCTCGAATTCGATGAGCGGTTACTCTCGTCACCCGATTTTCTGTTGATACTCGGTAACCTTCCGTATGCTTCCATATACATCGTTCGCACGCTTTCCTATGATGCTTACATCTACAGATCGTTCGCATTTATACATATACATACCGCCCACCAATTAATGAAGATTAATTTTTTATGGTATTGAATCGCTTGTCGGTAGTTTGCACAGCCTATTTATTGCTCGCTTGAGACATCCGGTTGCGGTTTTCAGAGTTACAACTCGAACCTTGTCGTCGATACCTTTATGGGTTTCGATTACACTTCCTATTTTCCATTTCAACGGTGGCAAATTGGGCTCTTGTATCAGAACAATGTCATTAATCGCGATATTCGGTTTTTCTGTTTTCCATTTAGTTTTGCTCTGCAGCGAAGTTAAATATTCCGCACTCCAACGGCGCCAAAAATCTTGCGATAATTTTTGAGACAATTGCCAACGATCTAATCTGTTTATCGGTACGTCGTTTAGATCTACTTCCGGAATGGCTGTTAATGATTCACCGACAAGAAAATGACCCGGAGTCAGTGGTTGTAAGTCTGTGGGAGTGGACGGTAGCTGACATATAGGCCTTGAATTTAAACAAGCCTCAATTTGTATTAATACGGTAGCTAATTCTTCGAAAGTTAAAAGTGCAGAACCCATGATGCGTTTCAGGTGAAATTTACAAGATTTCACTCCTGCCTCCCACAGACCTCCCATATGAGGTGACGCGGGTGGAATGAACTTCCACTCAATACCGCTTGGAATGCAGAATTCGTTGCTTATTGTTTCAGTCTCCCTGGTAATGAATTGTTGGTAATGTCGTTGTCTACGTTAAACTCTACGTTTTTAGTTCGTTTGTCGTATTGAGCTTTTTCTTTTTCTTTCTCGATTATTACTTGTTCCTTCGCCGCCTGTTGCGTTGCTCGCATTCTCTCGCGTAATTCTTGCGCGTAGTCGTCGTATGAGTACGTCGGTCGCGGCGGTTGAGTCAGGGCCGTAGGTAGAGTCGCTTGGTGTCCGTATATCAGTTCGTGCGCGGTGTATTGTCCTTCTTGCTCGCTCCGGAGGTGTTCTCTGACGAGAACTGAAAGGTTCTTTGATAGGATGTGGCTGGTCGGAGGTCACTTCAAAAAGGCACCGTTTAACTATCACTATGTAGCTTTATTCAACTGAGTGTTACACTGATGGTTCACGGCAGGCCGAAGGCCTGACGGACAAATGCTTAGCGCGTAAACGTATAGTATCGAATGACGCGTGATTGACAAGTGCCTCGATCTCGGGCTTTCCTCTGGTTTTAAACCCGATGATCGAAGCGTCAGCGTTCTCGGTACTCGATCGAGGTTTCTCGGTACTCGATCGAGGCTATGCGTAATCAGGTCGAGAACTTGCTGACTTCTTCTCCGAATTTAGTTAGGTTGCGCGGTCGGGCTTTTGTGGCTCGATCGCGCAATATGCTTACGCTAGTGTTATTCTAATTGCAGTAATACTGCTTGAGTGCCCTCGTTACCTCTTTCGGCAATCGGGGCACAACAAACCTCGTTTAACTCATTTCGCGCTCCTACAAAATTAGTCGCGTTATCACAATATATCCGCTGTGGACAACCTCGTCGTCCCGCAAATCTTCTAAGTGCCGCTATAAACGCATTCGAACTAAGATCGCTCACTGCCTCAAGGTGTATCGCCTTCGTTGAGAAACAAATAAATAATGAGATGTATGACTTGTTTGTCTTTCGGCCACGACCTCGGTTGACTAATGTTACAATGGGTCCGGCGAAATCTATTCCTGTTACATAAAATGGACGTCTAGGAATTACCCGATCTGCTGGTAATTGTCCCATTACCTGTGATAGTGGTTTCGGATTATTTCTGAAGCAAGTCATACACTCATGTACAACTTTCCTCGCTAGATTCTTTCCTCGGAGAGGCCAATATTTTTCGCGAATTGCATATAACAATGTTTGCGGTCCTGCATGTAATAGCCTACGATGCTCTCGCTTGAATAATAATTTTGTAAAAGTGCTCTCGGCTGGTAGTATAATCGGATGTTTTGTGTCGAATGCGGTCAACGAGTTACGAATTCGACCGCCCACCCTGAGGAGTCCTGTTTCATCGATAAACGGACTAAGTAGCGCCAATTTGCTTGTCAATCTGATTTGCTTTTTTGCCTTGAGGTCTGACACCTCGGCCACGAAATGGAGTCTTTGGATCTCGATAATTATTAATAAATTTACCTTGTGAATTTCCTGCAGTGATAGATTTCCCACATTCCGGGTTTCCCTTTTGGGTTTACAATTCCATATAAATCTTAAAATCCACGCTAAAATACGCTCGAGTTTCGTTAAACAAGAATAATTATTTAATAATTGTAAAATTAATTGCTTTGAGTCAACTATTAAAAAGACTTGGATTTCCTTCTTTTGCTCTGATTCGATAAACTCTGTTTCCGTTTGTGAACAAGTTAGCAATCGATTTGATCCCTTTATATTCTCAAAAAATTCTGACAAATTTTT